AAAAAATTGAAAAATAACACCAAATTATTTAAAACATAATTTTCGTGGCTTCTTCGCGAATTGGTCAACCAGATTATTAATAAAACCCTCAAAGTTTTCAAAAATATGCTTCCTATACACATTCATCATGGGAAGACCATTGAGACGACATTCTGCCATAGTGCTTCTAAGCCAGGTTTTATTGTCCTCAAGCTGTTAAAAGATCGTTCAACAGTATATGTCGTGCAGGGTAAAGTGTCCAAAATTCTAAAGACTTTTCTCGTTTCAGGGAAAAAAATGTCGGCATCTTTTTAGACATCCACAACACTTAATTCTTTTGAGTCAGGTTTATCTTGCCATAGTTTTTTCCATAGTTCGATTTCGTTGTTGATATTTGATAAATTGTAAAATTGGGAAAAGACTTCAACAGCTTCTACGAGGTCTGCAAGGGACATGTCTAACATTTGAGCTGGGTGTAATTTAGATAAGGAAAATGACGGGGTGTTTTCTTCAGAAAAGCGAACTTCAAAAGAATTAATAATCGAGTCTAAGTATGGTATTATTAAAGACCTCCGCCAGAATTCTGAGGGGCTTGCTGCTGGGTGGTTGTTCTGATGTTGTTGTCTCTCAACAATACGGGGCAAGGACTTCATGTCTTCTCCCAGTCCAAGTTTTTCTGCAACGATAGTAGCGTCCCTAATAATTCCATTTGTGACGTTTTCTGGACCGTTACGGTGGTTTTCTATAAATTCCAAAAGGCGGCTAATGTGCTGGGATGCCTTAACTGCATTCAAAGCTACGGATTTGAGCACGTTTACCACAGGTTCCATCATAGCCGAGTATTTGGCTACGAAACTCTAGAAGCTGCTGCATGGAGCTGATAAGTATTTTTTCTAGTCGCATTATTTATTCTTATTTTCTTCCCGTGACGAGGTTTCAAAGGCCTCCATTATAATAGGAAAATTCTCATTAAAAACACTAATATTTTTGTGTTTCTCGCTCCACCTTGTTTCGCAAAGCTTGGAAATATTTGGTATCAATTTGCGTCTCAAAACTGATTCTTGAAAAAATGTAATAATATCTTTGATGGTACCTTCCTTTGATGAAAGCACAAAGCTTTTTTATATTTTCTGCGTAGGATTGCTTGCACACCACCTTCTTTCCCGGACATCGTCGAACAACCGTCAAATCCTAAACCAACACATTTGTCCGGATCAAGATCTTCTTCTGCCGAAAACTCATCTATTGCTTTTGCAATACATTTCGCATCCAAAGCATCAAGCTTAACGAATCCGAGGAATACTTCTTGAACTTCCTTGGTTTCCAGATCAAAATATGGCATCCCATTCGATAGTTGTTCAGTACTCGAGATGTATATTTATTGTGTTTTAATTCTTTTTTCGAATATAATGCCACACATATTGACTCATGCAGAATATACTGATATGGTGTTTTGTTACGGTTTCTGCAATGCAAATGCACGTGCTGCTTGTCGTTCAGCGTCTTTTCCAAGGTTGAGGTGTGATGAGAGATGTGATCATTAAGATGAAAAATAGTAAATCCTATGATTGTTTTGGTCTGAACGTCGCAATGATTAAACAAGTGTGCAATTTGCTAATTACTCCGCAAACTAGGTTACTAAACCACTGTGTTCATGAATCTATTTTCCGGCCGCTTTTAAAACTGCTTCTATCACATCTATCTTCAAGAAGGGTGGCCGTAACGTTGCCGGGAATTTTAGACCAATAAGCATATTGCCCGTACTGTCAAAAATCTTCGAACACCTACTTCAAAAGCAATTAGTACAGTATTTTGAATGTAAAAATTTGTTTAGCAAGACTCAGTTTGGTTTTCGACTCGGTAAATCAACGACAAGTGCAGTATTGATGTTATTGGATAATATTGTGGACTGTTTCGAGAAATCGGAATTTTCAGTGTTTCTTTTGTTGACTTAACAAAGGATTTTGATTGTGTTTCTCACATCGCTCTTTTCAGGAAATTATACATGTACAACATATTTCCTAACATATTGTCACAGGGTTCCATATTGGGCCCTATTTTATTTCCCATTTATATCAATGACCTAATGTACTAGGTGAATTGTATGTTGTATGCTGATGATACTACATTTATTAGTCGAAGCTCTGTTTTGAAAGTGGCTACAGCGGTACAACATTTGAATTAGCTTGGTTTAATAGTAATAACCTAACGTTAAATGCAAGTAAGACACTTAACCTGGTCTTCACCTTGCGCACAGATGACCAGGTAGAACCAGTTCCAGCATGCAAGTTTCTGGGTTTATATCTGGACTCGGGCCTGACATGGGCTGAGCGTGGGGATAAGCTAGCCGGTAGACTGAGTTCTGCTGCTTTTTTGCTGGGACAACTATCTGTCACTATCTCCACCCATGCGCTGCGAACAGTATACTTCTCACAGCTACAATCTCATATCACTTATGGACTAATAGCCTGGGGCCACTCTAGTATGGCTAAGCGAATCTTCGGGATGCAAAGAAGAGCAATAAGAATAGTTGGAGGTCTGGGATATCTTAATAATTGCAGAGAAACTTTTAGACAGCTTAGGTGTATGACCTTTCCATGTCTGTATATTCTAGAATGCATTAAATATATTACAAACAATATGGATTTACAAACGAAAAATAACCAATTACATACATATCGAACCCGGCAACATGACCACATACGGTAACATAGGATCCGATTGGATCGATCAAAAAATTGTGTAAACTATTATTGTATTCAATTGTTTAATGTTTTAAACAATAGCTATCTTCAGACGTTCTTTTAAGGCGCCTAAAAAAGTTTCTAATTGATAAGGCTTATTTTGATATTGAAGAGCTTTTGGCCAATCCGCCGGTTGACAGTTAGACTAGCGGACTCACCTGTCTAGATTTGTCTTTGTGTTTTGTCTTTAAGCACTGACTCTGTATTTCTATATTTTATTTAGATTAGATTTATGTTAGGTTATTAGATATGTTACATATTACGGAGACGACTGCATACCAATTGGTTTAGCATGAATAAATATTATTATTATTATAGGAAACGGTTTCCTAACCGACTCCTACCAGATTCAAGAGCTCGGAGCTTGTATCGGGATACCATAATGTAAATCAGCAACTGTTGTTATATAATTTACTAATAGATGTTCCTCTGTATCAGAGAAAGTTCGCTTGTTTATTATATTTGAACGGTATCTAAAAACGTCATCACCCTTTAATTGATGACTTTTCAAATGACGAAGTAGTGTTGTTTTAGCAATTTGGTGATTTACAGCGACTTGGCCAACAGAGAATTTGTGCACAAGAACATCTTCTACTGTCTATGATCAATTTCTTTTATTGACCGGTTGTCACTTATTGCCTACATACCTTACTTGATGGCATTTTCTAAAAACATAAAGTTACACTTAAACTAAATTTAGGATTTTTCTTTTACCATTACGGTAATCATTACGAAAGTCCAAGATACACGTTAGTTACATGTACAGTGTGTTAATTAATTAATTAGTACCTTAGACTGGTTCAAGGTACAAACATTGGTGTAAGGTACACAATTGGTAACATTTTTGAAAAGTCGCTCCTGTTTTATTAGATTATTTTTACAAGCATCTTTGTTGGTTATAAATTAAAGAGAAATGAACCGAAAATCTTTAACTCATCTCGTAATGTAGATTCAAAATACTTAGTTTAATCAAGTATAAAAATTGATACTAAGGCCCACTTTTACCACCTCTTGATAAATTTATCCGATAGATAAATTGGCGCTCTTAGGGCCGGTTGTACAACATACCGATAAATCTACCTGATATCTATCCGGCCGATAAACTTATCAGGAGGATAAAGATATTCCCTGTTGTATAAACTGTTTTTGTCGGTAGGATTACCATATCTAGTGATTTATGCCGTAGATTAGTAACGCTAACGTCTTTCTTTGAAGTTTGAATTATGATTTTGACAATAATTATTGTTTAAAAAAATGTTCACGACAGACAACACTGACACATCATACATATAGGGTTAACGTTTAATGTTATAGGTCAGTGGTGTCCACTAATTTTTGATCAAGATCGACTTTTTATATAAATATCTTGCCGAGATCGACCGAAGGGTTTAAAGTAACCTTCCTTTTTTTTGCTCTGAGGCCCAGATATAGATATTTCAGATTCATGATTTTCTTGGCGATCGACGTTATGGACACCACTGTTATAGGTTAACCTATGCAGTAACCATACCAAGTTTTTATATAAAAACCTTGGTAACCATAAATATCTGGCGGATAAGTGTCTTATAGGTACCGCTGAGTACCCGATAAGTTATCCTGCCGATAATCTCACTGACAAAAATATTCGTACATTGTAATACAGTGCAAACTAACTTATCTGGCAGATAACGCTGTCGGGAAGTTTATCGGTATATTGTACAACCGGCCCTTTGCCAATGAGAGCGCTTAAGAACCGTTGTAACCTTGGTAATTATCCCTTAGATAATTTATCAGGAGGATGGTAAAAATGGACCTAAAAACGTTAAAAATAATGGAAATCCCAAACCCATCCAATATTTTTACTACAACTACGATGTAACCCCATCTGTCAGGTATACCTTCAAGTGAAATAGTGTTCATCAAAAATAAAAGTATAAATATAACGACATAATTCTTACTAATTCCATCATGTATTTGTGGTAGGCTACACCTTGAGTTTTAATCACAATTTCTAAATTTTAAGGTAAGTACTCGAAATTCTATAAGTGACTAAAGTTATCTATTTTTTTTTGTTTTCTTTATCTAATAACATTGCACAATATTTACATCATTTCTTGATAAAGAATGACATATTGCAGTCTAGAATTTTAAACTCGTATCGATAAAAACATAAAAACTTGAATGACTGTTATCGCTTTTCGTGATTTAAGTTAATTAATACACGAGTCTGTCTTGATATGATATGGTAAAACGAGATTAAACTTAAATAAAAATAAATAAATATTAAAAATTGAATACCTGGCTACAAAATTATCAACAGGATCACGTATTAAATTAATATACGTCGGCGATTGTCCATCAAAAACGCTGAAATTGACGAAGTGAATTGGTTTATCGAAACATAAAGGTACCGCATCGTTTCTAGCCCTTTTCTCCACCAAATCAACGAGATCTTTCTGCAAAACGAAAATGTTAAAATATACATAAAATGATCTATATAGCGTCAAAACACTTTCATTTATTGAAAGGTAATCGAATTTAGGATTGACATTTCTCGGCGTTCCGGAAATGATTTTCTCTCTCGTTAGATGAAAGTAAATAAAACAGGTTAATTTAAGTTTTAAAAAAATGTTAATTCTGCAACAAAATGTAGGTCGAATCTAGGTATAAATCTTATTTTATTTAAAAAAGACCGAAATCATTCGTGTGGAACAATTCATTTTTAAAGAAACTATTTGATTTCTCTTTCCAATTCAAAGTTATTACGCAACTTCTTGTTATTAAACAATTAATCACGTATAATGGGTCAATTAATTGTACCAATTTTCTCACACTTTGGATAAGTAAGAGATTACTCATTGAAATAACCTGTTTCTATTATGATTAGAAAATACCGTTTTCACAGAACTGTTATTTCTCACTCTTTTCAAAGTGATTTCGAAATTTTTGTCTAAGATCGCGTGCTATGTCAAGAATCCTCAAGGACTCGTGAGATCATAAAAGGAGAGATGATGCACGGAGTGCATTCCGAGCAATAACGAACGTTCTGGTTTTCTCTTTCCAACAAATAAATTTTTTTAACTAATTAATTTATTGTTATACATTTTTTTAGAGGAAAATACAGACTACTTTCGCGCAAACAATTTGTAATGAAGAAATGAAACTTTTTGGGGGTTATAAATGAATATTTGATGTTAGGTTATAGCAAATTTTAATGTTGCAAGATGTCGCTGATTTCAAAGTGATGATTTTTTCTCCAAACTTATTTAATAATATTTGTTGAGGTGGTTAAGGAATGTTCAAAATATCTTTGCTGAAAACAGCATATCCCTATAGGTAGTACTTGACAGATAACTGATAGATACTTGAGAAGACACATGAATTTAATGGCAACTGTCATTATATCTTCGTGGTTTTCAAAAAAACTTACGACATGGTTAATAGACTAAAGTTATACTCAGCAATGTTGGAATTTGGGATATCAAGCTTCCTAGTAGAAATGGGAAAATTCACAATGAAAGAGACTCAAACTTTTTGTGTAATTAGAGAATGGGGTGAACTGTCAGACTCATTTAATACGAGTAGAAGACAAAGACAAAGAGTTACCTTGTCTTGCAATCTGCTGAAACTTAAATGAACCATCTATAAAATAAGAGTACAAGTAATGGAGTACGCGAACGATACAGTGATTATTAGGAGAATGCAACGAGAGACGGAAAAGACATTCCGTGATCCGTCCAGACTTAGAACATCAGTAAATAGCGCTTGCTGGTCCATTTCTTTCTAACGCTTCTTTCATTCTCTCCTTTTTGAATATAAACATTGGGGGGATGTAGAAGCTAGCAGCGCTCATTGCGATAACGACAGTCACTAACTGACCTCTTTCCCCACTTGCTTCTGCCCTTTATTGGCAACAATGCGACTAGGATTTTGCACATTACTTATCCCTGATTCATCAACATTAAAAATACGATGAGCTTCAAATTTATGTTGGCTGTACAGTTTTTCCAAATTGTCGTAAAATTGTCCTCTTTTTGTTGAACGCTAAAATGCGGTTTAGACTGGTAGCCTCAGGTTTCCGAAAGGTTAAAGTTGGATTTCTCTCCATGAAGGAGTAGAGCCAATCTTTTCCACATGTACGTTTCTGTTTGTTGAAATTGTGTTTGAGCTTATTTGCCTCTGCAAACTCGTAGGGGAGTTCCCGGATTGATTTAGCAGTTAATTCATAAAATACTTTAGAAAGATTAATAATATGACTTGCTAGCTCTGACTCTTGCTCTACACTAAAGATCGGTTTTCTTCCTAATTTGTACTTTTTTATAGAAAAACGACCTCTTAAGCGATCTTGGAAGATTGCGTAAGGCACATCAAACATTTGTGCAGATTTTCGTATTGATAAGGTTTGGTTTCTGACAGATTCTATGGCACTTACATGTTCTCTTCCGACCATGCAGAACGTGTGCTTTTCCGAATATATTTTAAACTTGGCATCTGTAGAAAGGGAATGCCATTAGTATAATATCGACCACAGTAGAGAAATATCCACATTATTAATACACATTTTGTTCATTCGTACAGAATTATGTTAGGAAATAATTAGTACTCCATTGTAAATTGGAGGATTGGCCGATTGACAGATTTGACAAAGTCAATTGCTCCAACGCTAGCTGTGACGTACTCATGTGTTTTGTTAAATCTCCTAGTTGTGTTTAAAATTTAATGATCGATATTTGACAGCGGTCGATATTCGCCTTCTTTCCCCTACTAGTTTTTAAGCTAAAAAAATTGTATGACTTTAAAAATTACTGGGGTACCATAGATCCTGCCAGAGCAGTGACAAATTAAAAGTGTTTTTCAAGTAACTTCAAATATTATACATAACTAATAAACTCCCTGAACAAGAAATAGAAGAAATTGCGGGAAATACATATTTTGAAATTATCCAACTCTCAATGGTTGGAAAGTTTAGAAAAATGTTATGTGTGGTAATGTTGGGCGTGCAGATGGTAAGAATCAGTTTGGTTTATGTCCAGATAAATTTGGATTTTGCATCAAATTTCGTCTGTAGATCTTTTAAAGTAATTTCGTATACCCAATGAATTAATAACACTAACACTCTTTAACTATAACAATAAAGCGGAATATCGATGTATAGATCTAAGAGATTGTAGGATGCCGATCAATAGAAAACGAAATGTTCACATATAATTATAAGTTTGCAATTGTAACAACTTTGATTTATTTTAGATATGAAACCTTTTCACTTTACGTCTTGATTGATACAAGTATTGCTCCGAAGTCTCAATTTTCCCTTCCGGTAGATCGTTTTGATTCTCTTCTTTTCTTCCATATCTTTATATGACTCCACAAATAAAAATATAATGGTGTTGAATTAGTTGATCGTAATGGCAATGATCTGGGTCTATATCTATCGAGCGAATATTGTTCGAACGTGATGTTATATCATGATGATACAAAGTTTATGGTTGATATAAGGTGTATAGACCAATTTTATGTGATGATAGAATTGAAATCCTAAACTCATCTATAAGTAAATTGGGAATACCTTGAAGCAACTTAGCGCCGGACTATTAATTAAAGATAATCCTTTTTTAGTAAATATTGTTTCCCACGAATAATAAAATTTTTTACATTCATTTTACACGGGAAAAGTTGTGACCTTCCGACTTGAAGAATCGTTATTACGTTACTAAACAAAAATTGGTCAATAAGAAATGTAAACGGAGCACATAAACCGTTTCAAAAACGATGGTTGATCAAGTGCGACTACTTTTTAGAAAGTATCATTGCCTCAGAAAACGTTCCACGCGGAAAACGCCCTAGAAAAACATCAAAAAGGACGGAAATTAGAAAGATGTATGTAAAGAATAAAAAAAGAGAGAAAAGTAGAAGAGTAGTCAATGACATTTAACGTGTCAAAAAGATATAAGAAAGAAAAGAAAAATGACCAAACGAAGTAATAAGGAAAGATGCCAGGAACGCAGTAATAAATCAAAAGCTTGGATGATGCCAAATAAAGAGAGAAGCCCAAACGCAGCCTGATGGAAAGAAATCAGAAACTAGTCGGAAAACTGCACTATATCCCAGAAATTGCGTTGCCATTTTAAGACTCGTATTTCCATAAGGATTGGTTATATTATAATCCATAAGGATATATTTGTAGCTAGCTTAAGTTTCATTACTAAGTTGATTTGAGAATGGTTGAACAAAGATTAGAAATAAACCAGTGTCTAAAATATGCCAGAAACCTCAGAAAAGAAAGAAAAAATCTGAAATAGAGTGAAAAGAAAGACAGAATTATAAAATTAAAAACGCAAAAGAAGTAAATCACATTGAGCGAGCCAAAAAGACATCAGAAAGAAAAACAAAGTGCCCGAACAAATCCACAACGAAAGAAGCCGGAAAAAGCTAGAAATAATAACTTGGAACATATCAAGTAAAAAGAAAAATAACTAGAATATGTCAATTATACCAACCATTTGTGCACACAATAGTCAACTACATTAAATCTTTCTATCTTTACATATTCGAGGACGCGGTAATGAAATCTTCTGTTTATCGCTTACACGGTCTCCGGTTATAACGTATCCTTTTGCCATCAAAACGGCATAAAAACGTTATATCAGGGAGCACGACATAATAAAATATCATTTTTAAGTAGGTATGGTTAATCAAATGAATAAAATCGTATTCAAAAATGCATACATTTTATTCAACATTTAGTAGGGTGTGTCTATACGACGTTATTTTAAAATAACAATGTTGATTGCCATAGCAACAAAACAAAAACAATACAAACAAGCAAATATCGCCAAAAAGTGCACCACGATTAACAAAGAAACTTGTATTTGAAATATTTTTCTTTAAAATCACAAATGGCGAAGTTATTGCCTATATTCCGGACATTTAACACACCCTGTATACAGGATGGTTCAGTTTTTAATCGAGAAACTTTACTAGGACGTAAGTTTTTTGTTAAGTTCTTAGGACGTTTGTTTTTGAGCTATGAGCTGTCAAAGTTGAGCCAAAAATTTACATTTTATCTTTTATTTCGGCTATAAGTAAACCGTAGAATTTGAAATTTTGTATGTATGTACTACTGGTTAATACTTTATTTTCAATCTACTACCTTCTAAGGTTCTTCTGGTTAATACATTCTAAAACTTCAAAAAAAACTTCTGGTTAATACTGGTTAATACGTTCTAAGGGGATGAAATTCACAACCCCTTTGATTTTTTATAAGAACTTTTTAACGCCATGAAATATTAACATAAAAAATATGTAAAGCTGGGGGTTGTCTGTATATACAGGATGTTTCTACATTGATGCGAAAGATTTCAAGGGGTGATTTTTTAGCGAAAATTAAGAGGTGTCTTTCATACAACTTTTTGTTCAAAATCCCTTCTCCTCCAAGTTATAGCCCTCTAAAGTTAAG